CTTAACAAACAAGTAGGTTAGTGGGTCTAGATAACAGATTGCTTCATATGATTCATGGTCTGAGATTTCTGTGTGTAGGAGGTAGTATGATTTTTCCAATTTCAGATATCATTGGAGGCAAAAGCCTGATACTTAGAAATGCATTGGGCCCATTGGACGATTTCTTCCTGGTCAACATAGGCAGGTCCTCTAGTCTATCACAAGGGCATTTGGAGAGCTCACAGCTGGGTTATGGCTCTGGTCTTAGGATAGGTTTCAATCTTGGTCTTGCAAGTTGGAGGAGGAATCTTTGGCCTTTGGCCTTAGCACCTCATAGCGGAAGGAGTATCTGGTTTTGAAGAGCCATAATCAGCTGTTTCTTGGGATTAGGGGCTGAGGGGACTGCCCATTGTCTCAGTGGTCTTGGAAATGTTGGATAGAGTGGCAGGTAAGGTGGTGGGCTTTCTTCTGCCTCACCAGGTAAAACTGGTTCTTTTTCTGTCTTTCCTTTGTCAGATTTTCTCTGCTTAATTGTGTTTTTTGGGTCTTAGAGGCTGCTACAATCTGAGCTAACCTCAATTTGGATTGTACATCTAGACAGGCTCTCAACCAATGGGGTGTTTCTAGACTATCTCTTGCGAGCAATCAAGGAAACTATTCTGGGTGTCCAGGGGTTCCAGCAACTATTAAAAAAACCTCAGCAATAATGCTTTCAATTAAAGATTTTTCTGGTGGCCAGCCTACACCAAAGCTTGGCCATTCTAATTCACAGAGAGAACACAACTTTGCTGAGTGAATTTCTGGATGTAAACTTGCAGTCTTCTTCTTAGCCCATTAGCTGGTAAATCTGGAGTGCCAGGTGTGAATAAATGTTTCATCTCCTGCTTAAGATACACTCAGTGATTTCAATCTCGCCATAACAATGGTCAGAGCAAAATTTCAAACCCCCCAAATTTCACAAACAAAAAGGGAGTCACAGTTTCCCTTATGCTTGCTGACCCCAAACAGAGACTAATTAGGTGACTCCCTGGATCCTTTTTGACTCTAACTCCTTTTGGAGGTTATTTAGGACCCTCAAATGTTGAGCAATCCTCTGTCCCCCCAACTTAGTCCTTTTGGGGGAGGTCAGATTGGCTACCACTGAGGAACCAGGAGCTACATTTTTGGTCAGGTGGTGCTCCTCATTTCCTAATCTGGTTCCTGTACCTCTTGGGTTCTGTTGTGCTTCAGGGTAGAAGTTCTGAGATGTCAGGTGAGTTGTTTTTCTTCCCCCTAAAGAGTTGCCTCTGTGGTGTGCTAAGGGGAAGCAATGTCCTCCAACATTCCAGAGAAGCCAGACCTGAGAGACAAGAGAGGCAACTTGACCATTACCATCTCAAGTGGATTGCCAAATGTTGCAGGACAGATGAGGCTGGACAACTGTGGAATTAGCATGCTTATTGGCTACAGCTGGTTCAGAGTGTGGCTGTATCCTAAAATTTCCTCCTCTGAACCATGAGTCTAGAAACTCTTTGAACTTTATACCCACTGGGAGGAGGTGCTTGGATTTCTACTTTTGCCTGAGTCTACCTAAAAGTGTCTTTTTTCTTTGAATTCACAGAGAGTGCTTTTGTTTTACTTTTTATTTTTTATTTTTTTGGTTTTAGATTACTCAGAGGTTATATGTTTTACCACAGAAGCAGAAGTAATGTCATAAAGTCTGTTGCCAAACTTAGCTTTTACAAGACACAGTAATCGGAAATAGGAAGTCTAATCACAGTTGGGCATTTTTGCAGGAATTTTTTTTATATTCTGTTAATAAGAACAGATATATTGAAGGTTCCTGGAGAAGCTTAATTAAGA